AGTATCGAAAGATTGTGTGGAACTTTACCAATTACCTAGCCCTTGGGTATGTTCCCAAGTGTGATGCTTCCTTCCTAATCCTTGATTGAAGAAGATGTCATCAAGTAACCCTACAAGGAAAGGTTAGAAATTCTCCTTTTGGTACCCAAATTTTCTTGGTTACATATGAGTTAGGTAATGGAGCATAAGTTCCTTTTGGAACCCAAATTTTCTTGGACCTCAACTTCTTTCTAAATAGACAATTATGAATCTTATGTCCTAATCTTTTATAATAATTGCATTTAGAAGATTGGGTACCACTCTTGACAAAATGATCATACAAAAGATTTCTTCTTCTAACCAAGCATGCATCTTTAGTATGAGGATCATATCTTATCTCATTTTTGATTTCCAAGCATAAGACTTAAGTTCTCTTTTCCTTTGGTTGTCTTTGCTAGAGTGCCATTTTGATCATCAATGACTTTTTTTGAAAATTTATACTCGGAAACACAATCAATTGATGGTGGCTCTATAGATAGTACATTATCCTTTTCCTTTTTTAAGGATTCGTTTTCAAGTTGGATCTTTTGTAATTTTTGCACAAGATAATGGTTTTTCATTTTCAAAGAATCATTTTCCATTTGGACTTTTCATGTCTTTGAGAGAGATTGTGATTTTCCTTTTTAAGAGAAGAACATTTCACAGACATTTTTTCTAGCACACCATGTAACTCTTTAAATGCATCAAGTAATTCATTATGTGCATCAACTAGTTCATTATAAGAGGTTTCTATATCAAAAAATTTATAATTAGAATTTACCTTACCTTCATCGGCCATGAGACAAAGTTTGTCCAACTCTTTAATGTCACTTGCTTCTTTGCTAGAAGCTTGGAGAGCTATACTCTTCTTTTGAGTTGCTTTATTTTCTTCACTATAGGAAGAAGAGTAAGTTCTACTAAGAAAATTCAAATGATTAGTAATGTTAGTAGAACTAGAATACATCTCACTAACTAATTCATTTTTATTTATGATGGAAGCAACATCTTTTTCAATAAGCATAGGCCTATATGATTCCTCAACATTAATTGATCCTCCATAGCCTAATTCAAGTGAGTTCCAAATTTCTTTAGCCATTTTACAAAAGATAATCTTATTGAACTCATTTTTGCTTAATGCACAATAAAGATGGCATATGGCTAAAGTATTGCATTGTATTAATCTATGATCATTTTCATCCCATTCACCTTTTAATTTAGGAATTTCATTCCCTTCAATAACTTTGGTTGGGATATGACTACCATTTTCTATAACTTTCCATAAATCAATATCAATACTTTTTAAGAAGGCCCTCATTCTAATTTTCCAATAAATATAATCATTTCCATCAAAACAAGGAGGTTTATCAATGGGATAACCTTCTAAGTGTGTGATACTACTATTATTGGCCATGATCGTACTCTAAGACGGTTAAGTCATTTAATAGAGTTTAGGCTCTGATACCAATTGTTGCCTAAGAATTGACTCTAGAGGGGGGGTGAATAGAGTTAATGGCCAATTTTTGCAAATTATAAAAATACAAATTCTAATCAATAATATAACCTATTGTCCAATAATCAACATATAAAATGAAGATATAAAAGTAAACAATTTATAGCACAATTGTAAAAGAGATAAAGGAAGAGAAATTGCAAACTATAATACGGTGATTTTTGCGAGGTTCGGAAACTCCTACTCCTCGGCTCAAGATCCCTCTTGAGACTTCCCAATCCAATATAGCTTCTCCTTATGGGTGGAGAGCAAACCTTGATTAGAAGTAACTTCTTGCTAAGAGAAAACCTCTCTTAGTCTTCCTTTGGGTCACACCAACCCTTACAATATCCTTGCTAAGAGACCACCCTCTTAGTTTTACATAGGCCACACCAGCCCGTACAATTTCTTTGCTAAGAGAAACTCTTCCTCTTAGGCTTACAGTAGATTTGTAAATAGAATTTGTAGTACAAGAAATCCTCTCAAGAACTGATACAAATCAAACCTCACAATAGAGTATCTATGAAATCAAGTGAAGCTCAAACTTTAAGTATGAAATGTATGAGAGATGATGAGGAAAATGAAGAATAAAAGTTCTGATGAAATACTAGAATAAAATTTCAGCAAAGACTCACGAAACGCACTCTGAAGTTCACTCTGATTCAGCTATGGAAGCTTGTATATGAGATGAAGATCGGTGTCTGAACAGAGGCTCTATGAGTGAGTAAAACGAGAACAAAAGCTCTGTATAATGGTAGAGCCAAAAGCTCTCTTTGATGCACTTGAATGAATGTTCTTGAATGCTCTCTTAAGTAGTATAATAGAGCAAAAACTCTATAAAGATTAAAACAAGAGCAAAAGCCCTTTTAATCTTGACTGGAATCTCTCAAGATAGAATAAGAGTGAAATAAGAGAGATGAAAAGAAGATGAGAACAAAAGCTCTCTTTGCAATGTAATATAATGTCTCTCAAAATCGTGTATTATGTTTGCAGACAAGCCCTCTATATATATAAAGAAATTCGTAGCTCAATATAGTTGTTAGAAGTGGTTGGAGGAATTAAAAGCAGAAAAATTGCCATTGTAATTCAAATCCCTCAAAGGAGCCGGCTCTTTGCAAAAATAGAGGCGGCTCCATTAAAAAATGGAGCAGGCTATTTTCTGAAAGATTGTTCTATGAGCCAAGAAATACTACTGGAGTGAAAGGAGCAGGCTCATTATTTTTGAGTGGAGGTGGCTCTTTTTCAAATGGAGGTGGCTCCAAAAAAATGGAGCAGGCTTATTTCTGAATGGTGGCGGCTCCATTTGCCTTGAGAGAGCTGGCTCTATTTACATGAAGGCTGCTTCTAAATTTAGATTGGACAGAAAAGACTGTATGACTTCAAATGAACATAACTTAGTCCATGAAACACCAAATGAGGTGAAATTTAAGTCTAAATTTATTGCCTTGAAGTTAGATTTCTAATCCAACTGGCCTTACTCAAAAATTCCAACCACAGAAGTAGTTATGGCCGTTTCAGTGCAACCTAGTTAGAAATTTCGCATACCAGAATCGTGTATTTTGTGAAGCTCATATCTTAGTCATTTGGAATCCAATTTAGGTCAAATTGGAGTCTAAACTCAAGAGCTCAAAGTCGGATTGCCAATGCCACTGGCCTTACATAAAAATTCCAACTACATAAATAGTTATAGCATTTTTAGTACAGGCTGATCTAAAATTTTTCTGGGCTGAAAATTGCTTCTTATGAGATATCCATCTTTCTAGCACCTAGGACTTTGATGAATAGTTCAATTTAGTTCAAGGCCTGTTTCTAAGAGTCTAGGGACATATGAAGATGATAATTTTCAAGTACATTGTGTCCTAGAGTCATTCACCAAATTTTGGCAACAAAGGCTTTAAAGATGAAAAATTAATTTCAATGCCTTTTCCTTTACTTTCTAGAGACCAAAAATAAATATAATGATTAATGTGCATGGTCCTAAAATTTTTAGCTTAAAAAATGAGTTCTTTCAAAGCTTTTCAAGCTTGAACTAACTCTTTCTTAGCAAAGACTTCATATGACAATATATATAAATGAAGTTCCTAGTCTATTGCTAATAGTTATAGGAGCATATGAATGATGTATGATATGCATGGTCCTATAATTTTGAGCTTCAAAATATATTCAAATATACTTTGACATTAAATCTTAAGCTCTCACTATCCTATCTACCATTTTCTTCATTCTTTGACCATGATCGTTTAGGCTTGATGAAGACTTACTTTGTTTCTTTGAAATGCTTTGTGTGATCTTTGAAGTCCGAGTTTTTCTTTGATTTCTTGCACTTTGAGGCTTCCTTGAATCCATAGCTTGAGTATTTGGAATGGATCTTCTAGCTCAACATTGAGGATTGAATATTGATCAACTATATATCACTCAATGAAAATATTAGTACTTAAACATCATTAATGGTTTGTAATCATCAAAACATAAGATTGACCTTTAGATAAAATCCTTAGGCCAACACTTGGATTTTAATAATTATATTTTGAGGATTTTCAATTAGAATTCATTTCCGCTATTGATTATTTATTTCTTATTATTTTAATTTGTATTCTGTGTTCATTAAATATTAATTGTTTGATATTCCCACGGGTTTGGGCCTAGGCCTGATCAACCCGTGTCTCAGATCCGAGGGGTATCACACCATTCCAGTACTTGCTTCCCCTTGTCATCTGGTTGGATTGTGGTATGGTAACACTCTTTCCTTACCACCTGATCTCCCCAGATATCGATAATCTTTCGCCCATTGGGGCTCATGTATCTTGTGACCTGGTGTAGAGTTGATGGGACTCCCTCTATTCAGTGGATCCAACCTCTACCCATGATCAGGTTGTAGGATGGATGAATGTCCACGATCACAAAATCCTTCTTCAAGGTTCTTTTGGCTGCAGAGACTGTTAGCGTTATCACGCCAATAGGCTCTACTCTTTTCTTGTCAAATCTTACCAATAGTTCCCAATGGGTCGGATCTGTTCCAGATTGAGTTTCAGTTGGTCGAATATCCACTTGGTTATGATGTTGGCGCTGCTATCGGGATTAATGAGTACAGTTTGCTGCCAACAGACTGATCACCAGGGGATCTTTGTGTGGGCGCTGTACCCTTCGTAGGTTCCCTTTATGAAAGGAAATCTGGGCCACGTTCAATCATTTTCTACCGAATTAACTTCCCCAATCTTTTGCAATTTATAAGCCTGCTTGAGTTGTAGCTTGTAAGAGTTTTCAGGCTTTTCGTTCTCTTTTGGATGGCCATGAATTTTGTTAATGACCCGTACGGGGTTGATTATCTCCCACAACCCTTGGAGCTGGTTTGGCACGTTTAGTTTACCTCGGATGACTTGAATCAGCTAGATACTTAGCTAATTCACCTTTGGCTATAAGGGCTTCCACCTACCTTCTCAGACTCCTACAATCATTGGTTAAGTATCCAAAATTACTATAGAAAGTACAATGATTACTTTGGTCCCTTTGATCCATTGGTTGTCTGATAGGTGGAGGAAGCGGAAAGAGTTTCCTTGCTTTGGTTTCCTGATACAACCTTGCCAGTGTGACCTTGAGATGCGTGACTTTCTCGGCTGTTCGTGATTTTTTCTCGGAAGCTTTTCCCTCGATGCTCGGGGGTTCCCACCAAGCTCTTGAGCATTCTTTCGGTCGGCTTTCCACCATAACCAGGGTCGCCCTCTGCTGTCTGATCATCTCATTTTTTTTTAGCCTGATATAATTCTGTACTCTTGTGTTCAATTCTGACATGTCTGTCGAAATTTTCTTCACAAGTGAAGAATGAGAATGTGTGCCCTGTATCTGGCTATTTTGAATGTTTCAATAGTTGTTGCTTGATTGCAATCCAGAATTTCTTAGGATTTTATGTTGAATCGGGTGAGGAAAGCCTGGAGACCCTTTGATACGCTCGTCCATTTCTTTTCAGAACTTGGTAATCACGTCACTTCGTGACAATTATTGGTCCCCGCCTGGGACACAGGAACTTTTTCTTCCCGACTCGGCATGATCTTCGGAGGCGGGTTCTTTCATGGTTCGTGGCCACCCCAACGAATGATCTATCATGACGTGAGATTGGCTCATTGTATCTCCACCCTCATTCCCGTCCACAGTGTCATGTTGGACATTTGTTATCAAGGGGCCTACTGTTGTGGCACAAGGTTGTTGGTCCAGGTACCACCAGTGGATCCATTGGGTCGCTCTGACGCTCTGGTTGAGGGGCGACCAGTGGATCCATTGGGTTATTTTGTTACTCTGGTAGAGGGGCGATTGGTGGATCTTTTAGGTCGTTCGGACCTCTGGTCGAGGGACGACTGGTGGATCCATTGGGTCGTTTGAACGCTTTGGTCGAGGGGCAATTGGTGGATCCGTTGGGTCGTTTGGACGCTCTGGTCGAGGAGCGACCGGTGGATTCGTTGGGTCGTTCGGACGTTCTGGCTGAGGGGCGATCGGTGGATTCATTGGTTTTTCGGACGTTCTGGCTGAGGGGCAACCGTTGGATCCGTTGGGTTGTTCGGATGCTCTGGCCAAGGGGCGACTAGTGGATCCCTTGGGTCGTTCGGACGCTTTGGCCATGGGGCGACCGGTGGATCCTTTGGGTCGTTCGAACGCTTTGGTCAAGGGGCGACTGGTGGATCCGTTGGGTCGTTCAGATGCTCTGGCCGAGGGGCGACCAGTGGATCCCTTGGGTCGTTCGGACGTTCTGGCCGAGGGGCGACTGTTGGATCAGTTGGGTCGTTCGGACACTCTGGCCGAGAGCCGACCGGTGGATCCCTTGGGTCATTCGGATGCTCTGGCCATGGGGCGACCAGTGGATCCCTTGGGTCATTTGGACGCTCTGGCTGAGGGGCGACCGGTGGATCCGTTGGGTCGTTCGGACGCTCTGGCCGAGGGGCGACCGGTGGATCCTTTAGGTCGTTAGGACGTTCTGGCCGAGGGGTGACCGTTAGATCCGTTGGGTCGTTCGGACGCTCTGCCCGAGGGGCGACCGGTGGATCCCTTGGGTTGTTCGGATGCCCTGGCCGTGGGGCAACTGGTGGATCCCTTGGGTCGTTCAAACGCTCTAGCTGAGGGGCGACCGTTGGATCCGTTAGGTCATTCGGACGCTTTGGCCTAGGGACGACTGGTGGATCCCTTGGGTCATTCGGACGCTCCGGCCGTGGGGCGACTTGTGGATCCCTTGGGTCGTTCGGACCCTTTGGCCGAGGGGCGACCGGTGGATCTGTTGGGTCGTTTGGACACTCTGGTCGAGGGGCGACTGGTGGATTAGTTTGTCGAACAGCAATTCAGAGTCCTTCGTTCTGTTAATGCAGAGCATTGATTTGCATTATATTGGCCCCGTTGACCTGCTTCAATGCAATGATCTCTCTAGTGCTAGCTTCATTGGCTTGCCGAAGGGCATCAAATTGCATTTGCATCTCTTCGCCCATTTTTTACATAACTTCTTGTTGTTGAACTTATGCAGTATCTGATCCTGTTGTTGTTCCAGATCGATGTCGCATGAAAGTGATAATGGAAAGGCTTTTTGCAAACGCTTCCCACAGACGGCGCCAAAGTGTAGGTGCAAATTTTTACACTCGAATACTTAAGGAAAATAATAAGCTAAAAATCAAGCACTTAAAATAAATGTAAATGAATCAGACAGCAGAAGACATATTTTCAGTGGAATTTAATGATCCTTTTCTTTCTCATTCACCCTCTATTTATACATTTTTGCAGAGCCTTACATGGAGCCGTTACTGGCGGTTTTTGAATGTGGGCATTTATGGTGCCCTTATTTCATGCCATTATTCTCATTGTGGAGGTTACAAAGTGTTGAATGCATATGGGTGTTACACAGTTTTGAATATAAATGGGAGTTACAAAGTTTAAATATAAATGGGTTGGGCCACCTCTTTGGCCTGTTGTTTTTATTGAATGGGCTGTATTTAGCCAAGTGGGTCTTTTTGGTTTTCCTAAGGCCCTTCTTGATTGGGCTCCTGAGTCGTGTGGGCTGATTGGACTTGCTTTTTTATACATGTTTTGCGGACACCTGGCATGTTATGATTGGTGGGGAAATTTCCCTCCACAGTAGAGAAGAGGACTACTCTTATGAGCTGCAATTTACCTGCAAATGAAAGACTTTTGCTTGTCCAATGTGAAATCCTTGAGGCGACCTTGTCAATGAGTACACTACATTCATTGGATCTTAACATAGTGGAGACAAGTGGTACACCAAGGTACCTAACAGGTAAGGAGCCTTTCTCAAACCCAATGAAGCTGAGGATGGACTCCTCAAGCTGGCTATTAACACCTGACAAAAAGATATGACTTTTATTCTGGTTTATTTGCAGATTAGAGAGTGTGGAGAAGGTTCTAATGGCATGTTTTAGGGTTTGCAATGAGGTTAAGTCAGCATGTGAGAATAGCATAAGGTCATCTGCAAATATGAGGTGTGTCAATGAAAGCTCTTTGCATCTCCAATGGTATTTGAAGGGTAAGTCCTTAGTGAATTTGTTGACAATTGTGGTGACAACTTGTATAACAATGACAAATAAGAATGGTGAGAGCGGGTTACCTTGTCTTAGTCCCTTAATGCTCTTGAAAAACCATGGAACTCACCATTCAAAGAGATGGTGAAGGAAGGTGTGGTGACACAGGTGTGTACCGAGTTCAAGTAGTGTAACGACCCGGTCATTTGCCTCCCTTTCCTTTTTCTTGAAATTTTACGAATGAACGTTTTGTGTCGCTTAGTGTCATCTCGAGTACTCGAAATTGGTTTCTGAGACTCTTTCATGTGAATTGACAACTTCTTTTGAGGACCGAGTCATTTTCGCATTTTCACTTTTCGGATACTATGCGTCTTTCGTCATTTTTCCTATTTCGTCTTTTCCCTATTCTGTCTTTTCCCCGTTTGTCACATTGTTGGCATAACCTCACTTCTCAAGCTTGGAGTTGGTTTTTGACTTCACGTGCCTTCATCTTGAGTGGTTTCCTTGAAATACGTATCTTTACTTTTGCAAGAAAGTACTCTGGTTGCTCCCGGTGCCCATAGGGGCATGGATGCACAATTCTTCAGAATCTTTTTCATTTCTTGGGGTGTATTTCATAAATATCTTTTGAAGATATTTTATTTCAGGCGTATCTAAGAAAATATCTTTTGGAAGATATTTTCATTCTGGGGCAGTTTCGCAAGTAACCCTTTTTGTAGGGGCCATTATGTAATTAACGAAAGTTATTGCAAAATATCTCGTCTGGAGCCTGGATCCTCGTACAGAATTCATTTTCACATTTTGTCAAGTCGTGGACTCTTAGAATTCCGTTCTGGTCGTTTTCAGTTTCAGAGTTTCTGGACACGGTTGCCGCCGAACTTGTTCGGGGCTTAACTTTCTGATCAGGACTCAATTTTTGATGTTGTTTCTTCCGTTGTTCATATTTTCTCATTTTGAAGCTTTTTCGTTCACGAAGTTTTACCATTTGACCGCGTTTACTCAAATTCCACTTTTTCGGACCCGGCGGGGCCTATTCGGGGCACTTTTTGAGATTTCTTTAAAAAGGGGGTGAAATATTTTATTTTTCATCTTCCCCACTCTCCTTGCATGACCTGAAGTAGCCATGGATGCCCATGGAGCTGCCACCTTCTCTCTCCTCCTTTGATTTACTTTTCCTAAGTGAAAAGTTTTCGGCCTTCACGGTTTTTGTTCCCCTCGACGCGTTCTACCATTCTTCCTTATTAGAATTCATTTTCGACCACTTCTTGAGTTTGGGTTTGAAGTCAAGTTGTGATTTTCATGGGGCTTCCTTCAGATTCATGTAGATCGTGTTGTCCCCGTCAAAACCCTTTGATTTCGGCGGATTCGGAACACTTTTCTTCCGGTTGGGGATTTGGGGTTTTCATCTCAAATTAAGGTAGGGGGTGTTATAATTTACTTTCTTGCTATATTACATGCTTGTGATGCTTATACAACTTGATTGCATGCTTGAATCACAAAATCTAGAGATTTTATTATTTATTTTTCTTGTGAAGGATTTAATTTTTCCGGTTGTCCATAGCTTTGTTTAATCATGTGGCATGATAGAATATTACCCCTTCATATGTAGATTAACATATATTAAATTTAGATTATTTGGACAAGTAATAAAGATTCTATTTAATATTTATCTTGAATAAAATATTAAATCATGTGGCCTTATCTAGCTTTAAATCAACATGTGATAACATATTATATTAGGCCCTAGCATGCTCTTCAACATAGATTAATTTGAGAGTAATCAGAGAAGTTTTGAAATTTAGTAATATTTAATTAATTAGATTAATTAAATTGCTCCGAGTGTACTATTCACTCCATTGGAATTCCGACTTGATATTCGTGATGTGCATGCCATGTAGTTTCACATATATTAAATCTAGAATATTTGATTAGGTTTTGAAACCTTTCATTTATTATTTTTCTAGTATTAAAGTTTAATATACATGGCCGTAACTTATATAGAATGTACTTGTATCTTGCTTTTAAATCAAGTCTTGATATGTTTAATAACATACATTAATTTGAGATCATTTGGATGACTTCCAAAATCTAGAGATTTTAATTAAATGAAATAATTAAAATCCATTCAATGGTTCTATGCACTTGATTAAGTTTCTAACCTTGCATACATGGTTTCCTTGACATGTTCCTTCACGTGTATTAAATTGAGAACAATCGGATAAGTTAGAGACTTGCACTTACTTGTTTTACTCGTATGGGACTTAGTTCACTTAGTTGTGACTTGTATTCCATGGAACTATTAGCTTTTCATCATGTAACTAGACCCCGTGTATCTTAATTTCATTTATGTACTCAATGAACTGGCACAATTGTCTTTGAATGATCTAATTATCCATGTATTGCTTAGTAAATAATTAAATCATTAATCTTATACTTGTGGTATTTTTACATCGATGGATTCTATGTGACATATATCCTAGTTTGTAGTCTATGTAAATGTATACTATGATTTCTTGACATTTCACATGCCATGTTAATTGAGAACTTAGGGCATGACTTGTATATTTCCAAAATCTTAGTTGTGCATAAAACGTGTTCAATGCATTTCTTGTGTCTTAATGCTATCTTGACTTGCACAACATGTTAATTTTGGAAACTTGGTGATATCAATCAAAATTAACATGGCTAGGACTTGGTTTTAGTACGGGGGAAAGTCCCTTTACACTATAGTGCGTACTCGGGGAAGGTACCCATGGGTTAGTAGCCCTAAAGTGATCCCAAGATTCTAGTTTTCTATAGTACGCACTCGGGGAAGGTACCCATGGGTTAGTAGCCCTAAAGTGATCCTATGAGAACTGTTTTAATCCGGGCGATATCCAAGTTTCCACATTGGTTGATTTCACTCTTTAAATTTCAAGTTGCTATTCCTTGAAGATTTAAAACTCTTTTCGTGTTATATGAAATGTTCCAACCTTGTTTGATTTCATTGAT